TGGTTCTACGTTCTGTTATGAACAAACAAAGCATCAATTGAAGCACAATCATTGACATGAGGACGAAGAGGATTAGAGAATTAGGGTTTAAGAGAGAAAAATAGAGGAGAAAGATGGGGTGGTTATTAATGTTTTGGCCATATTTATGGAGAAACTGATATCCCGTATATAAATAAAATGATATGCTTCAATTGATAACATAATTGTTGAATTTAAAGATTCTATAATTAAATGTAATTGTGTTCGAATTGTGAAATATATTTTAGAAAGTAGGGATAGATTCTATAATTAAAGATTCCATAATTAAATGTAATTGTATTCGAAATGTAAATTTAGAGATTCTATAATTAAAAGTTTGAATTCTATTTGGGGAAGATGATGTCAGCAATTTGATCTAAATGTGGAAAAATAAGATTAAAAATACAATCAACGGTTCTGATTGCTCCATTGGTGAATTAAGGGTTCTCTTTTAATAATATTTAGAGATTTGTTGCCATGTACTTCTATCTCTCCTTTATCAAGGAAGAAGTTTTCACGTGTTTTCTTAGATCTTGGTTTCTGTTAGCCGTTTCAAACGATTATATCGTTGTAATCCTGTAGATTGTTCTGCGATCTACGTTTTGATTATGGATTTGATATGTTCCAATCAGTCGATCCAAATCGAACGGAGGGTGCATCGGGATGATCCTTTGATGAAATTATTTGGATTAATTTGTTTGGATTATATTGGATGATTATATGGATGGTTTTGGATAGGAGACTCTGCTATTCAGAAATAGATAAACTATTTCAACAGAGGGTTCTGTTATTCAGAAATAGACAAACTATTTCAACTGAGGAAGAACTTTGAGATTCAACTCAAGTCTTAAACACTCAAAACGTCTTGTTTATTTCATACAGGCAAATGCCCTATTTATAGGCTCTAAAGAGCCGGTTACATAAATGCCCTATTTATAGGAAGAACTTTGAGATTCAATCGTATGATTGCAACACGACAAACCTATTTTACAAATTTAGACCCCTAGACTATCAAGGGTCTTACACTTTATGTTACATCTTACCTACTTTACGTCACATTCGACATATTACATTTAACATACCGATAACGACAAATAATCTATCGATACTTTATATTTAACCTACCGACAACGACAAATGATAAATAAAATAAATTACAAATCTTATTAGAATTTTATTTATCACTTGTCGTTGTCGGTAGGTTAAATGTAAAGTATCGATAGATTATTTGTCGTTATCGGTAGATTAAATGCAATATGTCGAATGTGACGTAAAGTAGGTAAGATGTAACATAAAGTGTAAGAAATTTGATAGTCTAGGGGTCTAAATTGTAAAATAGGTTTGTCGTGTTGTAATCATACGATTGCTCTCAATTATGTAACCGGCTCTTTAGAGCCTATAAATAGGGCATTTGCCCGTATTAAATAAACAAGGCGTTTTGAGTGTTTAAGACTTGAGTTGAATCTCAAAGTTCTTCCTCTGTTGAAATAGTTTGTCTATTTCTGAATAGCAGAGTCGTCTGTTGAAATAGTTAATCTATTTCTGAATAGCAGAACCCAATATCCAAAACCATCCATAAAACCATTCAGTATAATCAAAACCATCCATCAATATCAAAAGATCATCCCGACGCACCCTCCATTCGATTTGGTATCAGAGCCAGGTATCGTTCTTACTATGAATTCTCATTGTTATTTGTCATTCATCATCATAAATATTATTATGAATATGAATATTCATCGTTATGAGTTATCATGCATATTACTTATCATAATCATCGTAAAATATAATAGTCATAATAAACTCTACTATCACCATCATTTTTAACTATAAATTTTTAATCGTAATTCTGATCTAAAACATAACTAAATTATTGTTCTTATAGAATTATAATCATGAGTTTTTCAAGTCTAAACATTAATAAACAAGAATTAAAACTTTTTCATAAAACACTAAAACAATCTAAAAAGTTTCTTTTAGATTTAAAAATAGATTCTAACATATCAATAATCAATTACATATCTAATATTAAAACAATGCATATAATAGATAATAGTATAAATTGGAAACAAGAACAAATAAAAAATCTAGAAGATAAGATAACAAGATTAATCTGTTAAATATGTCTCAAGAAATAGAAAATTCACCAATAATTATTAATAACAAAGAAAATGAATCTGGATACACTTTTGATGCTCTAATTAATAAAAATAATATTAATAAAAATGCTATAAGAAAATCAAATTTTACACTATCAGGAAAACATAATTTTAGAAATAACTCATTAAAAAACTTCTTTTCAAGAAAAAATATTATATACTATGGAAAAACTATAGGTGAAGAATCAATACCCATAGAATCAACTCAAGGAAATATTATTATACCTATAATAAATAAACAACAAATTAGAAATAGATTATCTAATATTAAAGAAGTAGATAGAATAAAAATTGCTTATATTCATATATCAACTATTTAAGTAGTTTTAAAAAGTACTTTTAGTGACTTAGATACACCATTAGAATTAGAAATCAGAGATGATCATATAATTAATAATCAAGAAAGTATTATTGCAAAAGGAGAAGGTAATTTAATTGAAGGAAAAATAAAATTTAATATTAATATTCAACTAGGATTAAGTCTTAAAGATAAAAATCTAAGTAATAGTATTACCGTACGATATAAATTATTAAGACAAAATTTTATGTTAAAAGGTAATCATCCATTTACTATTACATATCAAATAAATTATGCATTAACAAATTCTCATCATAGTATTACGTTTAAAACAGAAGATAGAATTTATATAGATAAATTATTTACCCATTTATTATCACTTGAATATAACTAATATTAGAATATTTAATGAAGCTAATTTTCAACCAATAATAAGTACTCCTTTAATAAAAAGAAACTAAAGTTTTCATTTCTAAAAATCAGAACCAATACAACTTGTTAATATGAAAACTTTACAAGAAAAAGTAGAAACATTAACTAAATTATTCGCAGCATTAGAAATCTCATCCGAAATTCAAGATAACGCAAATAATACAGAAATAGAAAATAATTCGGATAATAACAATGCGGAAGTAATATATGATTTTTCATCCGATAATGAAAATCCTTATTCAAATCCATATAAAAATTCACAAAATAATTTTTTATTAAAACGCAAACAATCATATGTTGAAGACGATTATCAAAGTCAATATATCTACGGACCACCTTCATTAGAAGAAAATTTTTTATATCGACAAGGAATGGTTAAAAATAAACAAAACAAATGGGAAAAAATACCTCCACAATACATACCCAAATTATTTACATTTCCAACAAATTCAGATATTTTGTTTATTGATTATAATCAAAATCCCGAAGCAAAAATTCAAGAATGGAGTAATAAAATGGGAGTCCAAATTCATCTTACTGAAGAATTAAGAAATTTACACCCAACAAATTTTCTTAACTATATCATTCATAAAACACAAGGTAATGCATATCGTTTCCTCTCATCTCTTGATGAAACTGAAACAATGATGATAGCTACTACTGATGCTATGGAAACATTTAAAAATGTGTTAAGTCACCTTTTTCAAGAATTTATAGGAAAACAAATCGAAGATAGAGCATCTCAGGAAGCTTTTCAACTAGAATCATTATGTCATTTAACTAATCTACGAATCTGTAACATGTGATACTTAGATCCATTTATATGTGAATATTCTGAACATTATTATAATCTACATTCCACTAGAAAAAAGATAGCATTAGACATGTTTTATAAAAAATTACCATCATTAGTAAGTCAAAGTGTAATAAAAGATTTTCAAGAAGCTCTACAACAAAATAAAATCGCAGACACTTTAGGAGCACGAATAAGTATATTAAAAGCATGGATGCAAAAGAAATGTTTAGAACAAAAGACAACGCAAGATGCAAAAATTAATCTATGTTGTGAAACTCTTTCTAATAAAGTTAATCAATATGGTTGTAAAGATAATAAAAGACAACGATATAAAAAGAAAATTTGGAAAAAACAAATTTATAAACCTAAATATAAACAATATTATAAACAAGGTGAAAGAAAATATTTTCGAAATAGAAAACAATATAGACAAAAATATCAACCTAAAACAAATTATTGCCCATCTAATAAAAAAGATTGTAAATGTTGGATATGTCAAGAAGACGGACACAAATATTACGAATGCCCAAAAAAACTAAAAAGGTATGAGAAACAAATTTATTAAAAATTGCATATGATCATGGATATGAACCTATAGAAGATTCAGATATAGATTCAGACATAGATATTTATGCATATACAACTGATTCTGATTCACATGCACATACATGATCCTATGGAAAAAGTATTATTGGGATTAGAACGTAAAACACTAAAACAATCTAAAAAATTTCTTTTAGATTTAAAAATAGATTCTAACATATCAATAATCAATTACATATCTAATATTAAAGCAATACATATAATAGATAATAGTATAAATTAGAAACAATAACAAATAAAAAATCTTGAAGATAAGATAACAAGATTAATCTGTTAAATATGTCTCAAGAAATAGAAAATTCACCAATAATTATTAATAACAAAGAAAATGAATCTGGATACACTTTTGATGCTCTAATTAATAAAAATAATATTAATAAAGATGCTATAAGAAAATCAAATTTGACACTATCAGAAAAACATAATTTTAGAAATAACTCATTAAAAATTTTCTTTTCAAGAAAAAATATTATATACTATGGAAAAATTATAGGAGAAGAACCAATACCTATAGAATCAACTTAAGGAAATATTGTTATACCTATGATAAATAAACAACAAATTAGAAATAGATTATCTAATATTAAAGAAGTAGATAGAATAAAAATTGCTTCTATTCATATATCAACTATTCAAGTAATTTTAAAAAGTACTTTTAGTGACTTAGATACACCATTACAATTAGAAATCAGAGATGATCGTATAAATAATAATCAAAAAAGTATTATTGCAAAAGGAAAAGGTAATTTAATTGAAGGAAAAATAAAATTTAACATTAATATTCAACTAGGATTAAGTCTTAAAGGTAAAAAATCTAAGTAATAGTATTATCATACGATATAAATTATTAAGACAAAATTTTATGTTAAAAGGTAATCATCCATTTACTATTACATATCAAATAAATTATACATTAACAAATTCTCATCATAGTACTACGTTTAAAACAGAAGATAGAATTTATATAGATAAATTATTTACCCATTTATTATCCCTTGAATCACCAAATATGATTGATAATAAAATATTTAATGAAGCTAATTTTCAACCAATAATAACTCGCTACTAGAAAAACAGCATTTTACGACGCGCGAACCATGACACGCGAAGATTTATGATACGCAAATATGTGTGTCCAAAAAATAATGTCATCTCTTCCAAAATTAAAAGAATTTAGGACACGCTTTTTTGCGTGCCCTAAAATTAGTGTCTAAACAAAAAAAATAAAAACACGGAGGGCACCTATAATAAAATGTGTGTCGTCTAAGACTGTCATTTTATAAATTTTAATAGAACGCGCGCGTTCCATCCTGGAAAAATGAAATCCCAAAAACTTAAAAACCACACCTTCCTTTTTTTCTCCTCCACTTTAGTTTCCCTCTTTGTAATAGCTAGGGCTTTTTGTCAAGAACTTGCCCCGACCGCCTTCCTCTACTGCTCGTTCTCTCTTCAACTTCCCTTTCATTCCTTCTCACTTCGACAAACCCTTTCTCTTCTTCTCAGTTCTCGACATCGACAGCTTCTCCCACCTCCTACGTTTCTCTTGGCGTTGGCACCTCCCACATCTCACCTCCGTCCAGCCCCACCCCGCCGTCTAACGCTTTCCATCGACACCCAGCCGGTGGAGCCCCTCCTCTCCGGCACTTTCCAGCGAGACCCAGCCGGTGGAGTCCCTCCTCTCCGACAGTCTTAGACGAGATCCGGCGACTCACCAAGACTTCCCAGCGGTGTCGCCGACAATTCTCCGTCGCAATTAAACCCCTTGTGTCGATGCTCCGCTCTCCATCACCAGAAGCCAACGAAGCTGCCCTGCTCGCCCTTCTTAACCTCGCTGTTAAGGACGAAACGTATGTTTGTTTATCTTTCTGCTTTTACTTTGATAATATGATGATGATGATGATGATGATGAGCTTCACTTTTGTGTTCGATCGTTTTCTTTTTCTTATCGTTGCATCTTTTTTGGATGATTCATAAATATTTGGAAAAAGAAAAAGGAATCAAAGCTTTTTTGAAAGTATGTTTTGTGGTCTCTGTTTTATCGTTGATCGTTTTTTCCAATTGGTTAACAGAAAAGAAAATAGTTTGACTCAGTTAATTAAATTAGTGTTTGTTCTTATTGATAAAAAAATCCATATATTGTTTCTATAAACTAAACAATATACCCATGATTTTGATTGGAAGTGTTTAGTTTTATGAGTAGTTTTGTTCATGCTTAGACAAACAGTGTTCTCTTGTTCATAAGATTCCCTACTAGGATATTTCATTGGTGGTTTTAAAATTCTTGGAAGAAGTTAAAATGAATTAGAATTTGAAAAGTTTTTGTGGTTTTTATTTGCTGCTTTAGGATAACATGTTCATCCCCAAACTTTCCTTCATTTGCAATTATGTTATGTTGGATTCTTGGATTTTGATCTTTGGTCACATGAAATACTATGTTAACCATGTCTCTTATTTTCTTTTCCTTTTTGATGATTTATCCACATAAGTGAATCAAAATCCAAAAAAAAAAACTCATTTTCTTTTCATTCTTGATTCTAAAAATTTTTCTAAAATGGAAACTTTTGTAGATTTGGTGCTAAGTGTGCTTTAAAATTTGACAGGAACAAGACTTATGACTGAAGAAAGACAGAAAGCAGTATGGGCTATATATGGTAAGTGCATACATGAAAACCTAATTTATCAATCTTTTTTCATGTAGGTGTGTTGTTATAAAGATCAAAAGCATAAGTTGATCTACTGTTTGGTGCAGGAGAACATATGAACTCGTTGATGGCCCTAACACCACCCACATGAGTGCTACTGTTCTTGACAGATGGGAAAAGAGAGTCGAAGATCTCTTTAATGGACGACCCTTTGACATGCTTGATGCTGCCCTCACAGACACCTTTCAAAAGTTCCCACTAGACATTAAGGTAATACCCTAATCACTACAATCAGCTTTAAAGTTTATAAGCTTCATACGTCTAAGTAATTTTTTTGGTTTTCAGCCGTTCAGAGATATGATTGAGGGAATGAGGATGGAAACCAAGAAAAGTCGCTATGAAAATTATCAAGAACTTTACCTATATTGCTACTATGTTGCTGGAACAGTTGCTCTGATGACTGTTCCTGTCATGGGTATCTCCCCTGAATCATCATCACATGCATCAAGCATCTATAATTCTGCTCTCAGTCTTGGCATCGGAAATCAGCTCACGAATATCCTTAGAGATATAGGAGAAGAGTAAGTTTTCCACTTTGATCAATCCACATTGTTGATGTTCCACATCACTAGACACATTCTCATATGCATGCTCTATACATTTTGGAGATAGATTATATATCTTCTCTCCTATAGTATTAGAGTCGAGGTCTACAACATAGTCTATCAAGAGCTTGCATGTTGGTGTCCCACATTGGCTAGACAAAGTTTCATCAACCTCTACACATATTAGAGTCTACCTTTTATTTGATGGGTTATGAGCACTACAACATTCCTATGGTGTACATGCAAACCCTAAAGCTTTGGATCTAGTTTGTCTAATGAACATGCAATAATCATCCAAAGCCATAAACCCTAGATCTAGCATGTGATAATCAATATAAACATAAGAATAGGGTTTATATCTTACCTTTGATTGTTATGTAGCAATAACAATCTATTCCTTCTTGTAATTGGCTTCTAAAAGCTTAGAGTCACAAATGTCACTCCTCTAATGGCTCACAAACACCAAGAGCAAGAGGATGAAGAAGGAGAAGAGGAGAGGCACTCAAAAACGTCTAGAAACCCTAAGGAATAAGATAGCCACGTTTTTGGTGCCCTAGGGGTGATTAAATAGTGAGGCTATTAGGGTTATCTAACAAGGAAACCCTAATTTGACGGCTTAGGCCCTAAGCAACCCATGGACTCCTCCTTTAGAGGCCTTGGACGATTTCTAATGGGTTTCCCCATAGAATTCGTCCACTCCTCTAATAAGGAGTCCAATAGCCCAATATTTTAACTATCACACAATTGACAGTTCTAGTCCCCTAAGTTTAATTAATCTCTTTTAGCCACAAAATTAATTCTTAATTAATTATTGACTAATATTAATTAAACAATATGATTTCTCCTTTAATATATTATTCTCATAATATATTAATAAATCATAATTAATCCTCTCTCTCCATAATTCATCCTATCAAGTTGCATTGGTGAAGGCAACCCAAAAGGACCATGCACCATCGGGTCAAGTACATACCAAAATAGTTATGGACTTAGACACTAATCCAACAGTCTCCCACTTGGATAAGTCTAATAACTATTCTGCGTATGACTTCAGATCCTGATCCGCAATCGTAGCTTTCAAAAGTCGTTTGTCAACTCTGATCTTATCAGATACGCGTCCTTTAGACAAGGGATCATATATTCCTCCATTCTAGATATCGTATAGACATGAGACATGGATTGAAATCATTCTCTCAGTCTATGTGTCGTTTCCTGATTTCTGATTTATGACAACTGACTAATTGAACAAATCAAATCAGTCCTAGCCCGGCCGAGCACTTTCCTTTGTCATCACTAAATCATCGAGGGGCCCACAGATATCGCTTTTATCCAACTTTGGGTAAAAGGAACGGATAAACTTCGATTCAATGCTCGCTTGTACTCACTCACCGAATCACACACAACAATACGTTTTATAACACCAAGTTACTGGTGCGTTTACATATTATCAATGTGTAACCGACTCGCAAGATACAACTCACACATCTCGGTTTCAAGAATATAAGATATTATCGTCTCACCAATCACTCGTGATAAAATCCATGAAGCGATCCAAGTGAGCGTGGGTTTAATCCAATGCTCAAATCATATTCGTAAGCACTCATGAACGTTGTAGCAAACTTTTGCTATGTCTAATACACTTTAGACAATCTACACACCAATTCATGACAATCTTCTTTCATACTTACTCCCAAAGTATGAGCGACTGTGGAACGTTCAAATAATTCGATTATTCTCAAATAACTCAATTATTTAGGAAGTCAAAACATGCAAATTGAAACACAAGAATAATACTAATCTTATATGGCCCCAAACTTTTGAGTATAAATAAAACACTTTTATTTAATCACCATATTGATTACTCATTATTTGTTGTTTCGGGTAATCAACTTCTTACTTGAATTATAACGACAATTGTCCCATGCTCTTAGCATGCACACTATGTTTACTTATGGTCCTTTTTCTGTGAAATAGTATAATTGAATAACATTTTCAATCACACTCATTTTACAATTCCCAATCCTTACCACAAGTGTAAGAATACCAAATTCTTGCCACTTATAGAATATGTTAGATTCTAACACTTTATGCAACAGTCCTTTCGTAATGTCATGGCACAAAAGTCACCAAGACTCGGCCAATGAAATTACAAAGTCTCTATTGGAGATTGTTACAAGACAATTCCATAGACATGAAGTCTCACATTCAAAGTACATTCCTTTGAACATCCTTCTTGCATAAAAGTTTCTAATCTAGACATAGATCCTTAACGTCCAACTCCCAATAAGGAAACATTTCCATATTTGCCATATGACAACTCATTATTAATAGAATCATATCTAATAATAATAATGTCAATATGGTCCTTCCATTACTATACTTCCAACTGTTCACAAGCGACCAATCCTTGGCGAACCTTAGATTATCCTTGACAGTTGTTTAACTAATTCAGTCAAATCCGATTCTAGTCCTCTTTCCCTCTTAATGCCCTAGGCATTTGGAAAATTTTAGAACGGTCGAATATTACAACGACATGATACTTTACCAGTCTTTGCCATAATATTTCTATTTGCCATGTTCTCACGATTCGAACTATGAAAGGGATGCCGTAATCATAATCGAGTGTGAGAACGCAACAATATTTCCATATATAGAATTCTCTTACGTTGAATCCTTTCAACATAACATTCATATATCTTTTTGACTAAATTTGATTAAAATTTCTCGATCTAAACCTTTAGATTTGAAACGAAGTATACTATTCTCTCCCTTAATTATAGCAAAACAACTTTTCAACCTATGCAACTTTGCAAAGTGAAACTTTTGTTTTCTATAATTAATATTGCTAACTTGCAATAATAATCATGCTCCCACTAACATGATGATTATATCCATACCAGCATAACATTTATGCTCCCACTAGCTTTGACACATATTCATGAAACAGTTGGACTTCTAAAAACAATACTTATTGACTTTCCAAAGTTCATATTTCCAATACGATGTGCTTTGATAAGCTTTTATCTAAGCATCTCAAACTCATACACCGTACTTTAGACAGCTCACATGTGTGTCTAAACAATTCCAGAACTTATAGCAATAAGTCTCGATTGTTCAAACTAATTGCCAAATCTCACAATTCGAACTATGAAAAGGGATGTCGTAATCATAATCGAATTTGAGAATGCAATTTACATAATCGCTATCTCCTTAAAATCTCTCTTAGTGAAAGCGTTTCCTCACAATCATTTTCATGAAGGAGAGAAACCTTATGACACTTAGATTTTATGGTGCATGTGTTCCTATCCATGCAAATTTGTCATAAGCATAATCGTAAGATAATGTTTGTGACAAATTCAACCTCTTATGGACAGAACTTGTTCATTCTTAATTTCTTGCCATCAAGGGTCCCACCATTGCTTCCAAGTTATTTAGCAGCTCACCTATGCCAGTCAATGTACTTTCATTGATCAAGGTGTTTGCCCTTATGCATTCAATTGAGAACTCGTAGAACTCATATGCATAATCACTCAACTGGATTGGCACAGAAATAAAATTTTGTCAACACGATAGGTTACAATCCTCAAGTCGTGTGCTAGTGTTTAAGAGGTTTACTTCTTGATTTGTTCTTGAAACTTTCTAAGATCTTTAGACTCCCACTGACCTCTTGACATATAAGATTCTCTTGTCGAGAAACATTTCTTGACAAAACAAATATTCAAGAGTCAGTGTATGTCTTTATCAAGACAAACCTACACACAATTTGGTATTAGCTGGTCTTTGTCTTATCCAAGACATCACAACTTACCAAAATGTGCAAATGTAGAACATTCCTACTTAAGATTATGTCACTCAATTCACAGTCTTGGAGTATGACTCTAAGACTTGATATTGGAACGAAGTACGATACATCTTATTGACTTAACCATTTCTACAATTCACAATTCATTCCTCTTCTTAGCCAAACTAGTGCACTAAGGTATCCTTAGAGGATGAATTGTAATATGGTTCCTACAATAACCAAGACGATCATAAAACACGATACAAAAGTACTCTCCCTTCTTCTTAGATTGGAGAACCTTTTATCTTTCTGCCTTCATTGATTCTTCTTATTCGTTCTGCCATTCATTGAAACTTTTCAATGATTCAGAATTACACTTAATCTTGTAAGCATAATCACGTTTACTAGACTTTTAGTAAATCATGACGAATAAACTCATCGTTCTTTGTGGTGGACTTGACCAGTGCACAACATTGTGTACCAGATCTCCTAGTCCTTCACTTGACTCACATACTTATGTGAACAAAGAATTAGTTTCAATTTCCCAAATACGAAGGTTTTCATTCATCACACAATACCAGTTGCATGATTCCAAGTTTTTGTCCAATTGAAACTTGGGTGATGAGAAACTTTCCTCATTTGGTAAATTTATGACATTTCCACAAATAACATAACTAAGAATCAAATCCATTCACAATATTGCTAACAATAGAACCATTCAAACACCAATTTTCATAAAATCCATCGCAAGGAAACATAAATAAGATAAATCAAAATTTATTTTATTGCGGAAAAATATTGTCCTTACAACGCGATTACAAATGAAAACTATGCAAATATTATTTAGCAATCTATCCTAACTCTAAAGTAGTAGCTAAAATAATCCGATCTTTGAATCATGCGATCAAGATCCACTTCTTCATGATCAGATTTAGCTCACTTCTTTCCTTTTAAGCTTCCTTTTTTCTTCGATTCTGCAAAACACCAAATGTAATCTTATCACATCATGTATCAGGAATCAGAAAGGAACTTAATAGAGTTAGATAGTGGATTTTACCTGATGCAGAGTCATACATCTTGACTCTCCCATCTCTTAGATCTCTCAGGTAGTCAGGGCAGCTTCGTAACCAATGCCCCTTCTTTTGGCAGTAGAAACACATGGATTCTTATGGAATGGTACACGGGACTATCTCAGACTC